AGTCTCGCTGTCTTGTGTGCCTTTGAGAGACAGAGACAGAGGTAAGGGAGGAACAGCAGGTTGAAGATGGACTATTGCACACAATATTTCTGTAAGTTATTAATAACCTGACATCTCTTGGAAAGCCGCCTAACCCACCAGTTGACCAGCACATCACTCACCCGACCTCACGGCGGTGCAGGAAATGGCATTAATCATGCAATCCATCAATTAGCATCTTATTGTTCCTGCACACAATGGCCAACAGTTCAGGTAATTAAAGCTTGATTTTCTGGAAATATCGACATTAATAGACAATATTTTTCTCCCTTAAGATCAGGAACACATTAAGCCTACAGTTGTGAGTTTAGGTCTATGTGTGGATCTGAAGCAACTGCAGTCACATGACACATTGTTTGGGTTAAACATGAGCATGTTACAGTCCTGGAGGATTATTAATGTGCACCTCCTCCTGTACTGCCTTAATATGCACATTCAGCACATCCAATGCATCAAAACATTGTTTTCTAGTTGGAGCCGCGCCTCGTTTTCAAACTGTATGCTTTGACTAAAATGAACAATGACAGCAATATAGTCCACGATGAGCAGCGCTAAAATCAACCTGCGTAGTTGTCCCTCCATTGTGACATTAGAAAGTGTCACATTTATCTTGCAAGTGTACTCTTCTTCAACGTTTGCTTTACTTCCTGGATTTTTCCCACGTGGAAATTCTGACCAATCAAGAGCAGCTTTCTCACACAAGGCATTTGATCTGGTCCTCTTGTAAATGCTGCCATGAGAACACGAGCCAACTCTAGGCAATTATGCAACTTTGGAACAAAATTAGACCTTGATTCAGACCAAAGGAGACAACTCTAGGTCTGACAGCACCCTAATCCAGAAATCATAGGTAAGTCTCAACGGTATAAGGTCTGAAGCTGCTACATAGAAAATAAATGGGAGCCTGATTTTGTGGACCCACAGATTGTTTGTTTATACACAAATGAGCTGTTTATACCGTAGTGTTCTCAGCTTTGAAACAGAAAATGTTCCCATATACTCAGAACATTCCCCTGGGTTCTTGGTGTCATCTAGAACATCTTTTACAATTCATTGTCTATGGAGCAGCTCCAGACTTTACACCCTATGACATCAAAAATTTGACTTTTAGCACTCTAGATCTTGGATCTGGGAGAGTTATTCATGCTGACTATTATTTTTGGACTGTCTTGGACTATACGAATAATGTATGAAATTTGAAAATGGGCGTAGTTCCTCTTTAAGCCTCTTCTGTATATTTTTGTTAATAACTTTCATTACTTTTATTCCATCATGCCTGCTGTGATAAGAAATTACTGTTAAATGTCTGAGAAACACTTCGTATTCCAGTTTACTCTGCCAAGAGTATTATTAACTGACTTGTGGTGCTTAATTTGAAGACCTGCCACGGATACGATAAATAGGCCTATCAAATCATATATTTTGTGTCTTATTGTTCCACAATTTACTTTTCATCATAATGATAATGGGTACAATTACCGAGAAAATCTGACAGCTGCCGTGTCCCACACTGTGCCGCAGCAACACTAAAATTATCTACCTATGTGGACATTAATAAGAGAATTAAAGCAGATATTTAAATGTAAGACAAAAGTTACTTTCCTTGGTAACTAATTGCTTTTATATGCAGTAAATGGTTAAGTAATTCATTACCTTTGAGAGACATAACTTGCAATTGTTGAGGTTTCTTCTGTATGTCTTCTACAAACAGCTTTAGTTGCCTTGTATTTAACGACATTTCCAACACATTATCTTTCAAGTTATTTGGCTTGCTTTACTCAGGGTTGGGGTGACTTGGTTGGCTTTGTCAGGCTGGCTTGAGGTCCAGTGGCTCGTGTGTTAATCAAAATAAATCAGTGCTGTTCAAACACACATTAGTAAAAAGAAAATGGGCCTAAACAGCACCTAAAACTACATCAAGTCCAAGGAGGCAAACTCAAATAAAACAATAAGCAAACTTAAAGATTTATGTTAAATATTAAACGGTTGAGAACTGTCTATTCTCGGCGTCTTCCAGCCTCAAACTGGGCACACGTGTCTCTCTTAATTGGCTGGGGTGTTGTGGGAATTGTAGTCCTATTTACATGGTCTACAGAGGCAACCACTAGATGGCAATATTCTTTCACTAGTTACGCAAAAAAAAAACTGGCTCCGACAGTAACCAGTTGGTTTCAGTAAATTAGCACAACACGGGTTTTGAGTAAAACACATTGTGTGCAATAGTCCACCTTTCACCGTCTGGCAGCGTCAGTTTGCAACGCAGCCGGACAGAATCCTTTGTAGTGTTATGATATGCCGTCGGTCAACCAGATGGAGCCTGTCACAGCAGTATGATACACGGATGGACAGTGTTAGTTCATAATGCAGCTGGACTGTACCTGTTGCGGTCATATGAAGGGACTGCACTTGTATAGCGCCTTTCTAGTCTTCCGACCACTTAGAGCGCTTTTACACTACGTCACATTCACTCATTCACACACACACATTAACACACGTGTCCAAGGATGATGGTATGTTGGAAACACTGCCAGTAACAACATAATTTAAGGAGCTGGCTGGTCCCTATAGGGTTGGTGGATGGTTCCAACAACCCCAGACTTCTACCCAGGAGCCCGCTGTTTGCTTTCTGTATTAATGTAGAGTCAAACCATTAAGTAACTGTGTGCTTTCGTTGATGTCCCAGCGTTGGTTGTGACATCCCAGAATGCCAACAGCAGACGCACTGGATACCTGCCCCATAATATGTAGACCTAAAAGTCCACTGACAAAGTGGCGATATGTGATGACATGGGATAAGACCTTGTTAACAGTTTACACATATAGCTGGAGTGCCAATATATGAGTGCCAAGCTAATGTCTAATTTGTTCCTTATCTGGAGCTCCAAAACTATTCATTACTTACAGGAAATAGTGGCCAACTGTCAGTTTCTTTGTCATTACAGAGTAATTCTCACGACCCTTTCACCTCAACTCTGTCCAGTCCCTCCTCCCATGTGTCATAAGACCACCAATATGGATACACTTAACTTTTTCTCCATTGTTTGGTGTCGATAATCTTTGCCTTGTGTATGATGACCTGAATGCATTGCGTTAAACTGAACTCTTTATCCTCTTTTTATGCCACACACACACACACACACACACACACAGAGCGAGCTCTTTTAGCCCCAAAGAATTTTAAACCTCCCAATGTCCTGATACTATTGCATTTTTCATTGGTATTTTAAGCAAAGAGTTGTGAGGTCTTAGAAGTCAGCTGGCATTAATTCCTCTGAGGCGGAGGGATTCAGCTTCTCCCTGGAAAGAGGCTTAAAAAGAAAGTTCTCCTGCTTCCAAATGACTTAATTTCTCCTTTCTCACATATATTTTTATATTCCTCAGTGGACAGGAGAACAATAGATAACTGAATGTGGATATAGTTTGTTCTGTTCAATGTCCGATAATTAATTCAATACAACACCTTATTGAGATGTATTGTCCCTCCATGTACAAATTATAAATTTATTTGAGTTAACCAGAGAAGTTAAATAATTGTCTTATTGTTTTCCATGGTTGTGGGCAATGAACTGTTAGGGGTGCAGGTGTATACATAATACATCAAGGCAAGAAGAAATACAAAGAAACTGGGATCATTAATGCTGCTCTGTGGAAAAACATGAAATTTAATGTATCTTTTTCAAACTACCGTGAGCTGGAAATATGAGTGAGTATGACACAACAAAGAGATTTCTGGATTAAATGAGACAAGAAGCATAAATTAACAGATACATAACAAGTCCTCCAACTCGTATGACCACATAGGCTGTACGTTCCTACCTCTGAATACAACCCACAGGAGTGTTTCCTAAATTAGTGTCCCTAACAGTGGACGACAGAATAGCTCGTATATCAATGATAGTTTTAAAAATGTGGTGTTACCGGGAAACGGTCACCTTGCACCAAAATTACATGGTAAGGTTTTTAAAAAAAAAAAAAAAAAAAAAAAAAAAAAACGGAACATGACGTATCTCTTTAAAAAAAAAAAAACTACGGTAACGGAACATGACGTATCTCTTTTAAAAAAAAAAAAAACTACGGTAACGGAACATGACGTATCTCATGACATATGTCACATACAACACTGTGTGTTTGTTAAAATCAGTCAACGCTGACTTTTGGTTTCACATGGGACACAAACACTGGTCTCCTGATAAAAGTCCTGTGCTTGTTTGATCCATCCCCTCCCTCCAGCCCAAAGCGGACTTTGTCACTCTCTATATTACCCCTGAATTATATTTTTGCTCCTATAATAATTACTACCACCACTCGAGGTTGCCGCCTAACAAAATGTAAATATTGTTCATAATTTCTGCTTGTAAAAAACAACCTATGCGGTCATATTTTGAAGGAGGATGGTCTCATTTTTATGTGGGATTTATACTTCTACGTTGAATCAACGCTGTACCTACGGTGTAGGCTCTTCGTCAACGTAAAGCCTACACCTTACCCTACGCCGTAGCCTGACGTGCACTTCCCCAGAAATGTAACTACACATCGCGGTGACACAGACCTCCTGTTTATTTCTGTAAGCTGAAACCATTTCCCTCAGTGGAAACGAAGCTTTTATTTACTTTTATTTCACAGATAAGAAACAATAAATTGTGAAGACAATAAAGCCTCCACAAAAATAGCATTTTAAGTCTTGTGTGTGATTTATCCTGGCTTCAAAGGAAATCTCTCCTAGTTGCTAGGCTAATTTATACAATGTAAAATGCCATAGGCTTGTGCTAATGACTTTAGCATGCTTGGAAAACATGTTTAGTATTAGACAGTTGTTTTGTCAGTGAACCTTGTGAGTTGTAATGGAACTGAATTTTGTAATGTTATCTTTGTTAGATGTTGCTGTTGTCCTTGGCTTCATATGAGTAGAGGAAAAGTCTGTTACCCACTAGGCTAATTTATACAATGTAAAATGCCACAGGCTTGTGCTAATAACATTAGCATGTTGCATTTGTGGGGAAAATGTGTCCAGATAAAGACAAGTGTTGCTATCAAGCTTTGGCGTAGGTTTTGCAAAGAGCTGATGCACAAGTATAAATCCTGCTTTAATGTACAGTTGAGGTTGTATCAGGTGCTGAGGTCTAAAGTCCATCAAATGAACTTTTCCATTCTCATCACATTTATTCTGGCCAGTTTGGAGAACAAGCGATTAGCGTGTGTGTTACTGTGGGATGCTGTTTGAACAAAGCCGCATTTTTGGTACAGGGAGATGGCCGTCGTCTGTGGCGAGCTGACATCCAGGACCAGACGGGCGTATCCCCGCTCTTTGCAGAAATCAAGAGCCTTCCTCATTAGCTGTAAACCCAGGCTTTTGCGGCGCCATGAAAACGCCACAACCATGTGGGACATCTCGCCATAACTCCCATCACCGGCATCTTGGGCAAACTCTGCACCTCCTCCTCCCATTGCTCCTCCATTCCTGTCATCAAACCTCTCATCCTCCTCCCCTCCACTTTTCCCCATCACCGCCACCATCCCCACCACCTTCGACTCTCCGCTGACATCTGCCTCTGCCACCCAGAAGCCGTTATCTGGGTTTTCCAGGTAGTTGGCTGGAATGTCAGCCATGTCTGTGCTCAGCCTCCTCGTCATGTAGCCTTCGTAGATTTCGTGGCAGCAGTAATAAAGGAGGCCAGCCCATGCGCTGCCAAAGAGTAAAGCTTGGAAGTAGGAGCTGCCTCCCAGCACATAGCCTGCCACAGAAATGCTCAGAGCAATGCCAACATGGTCTGGGTGGCTCAAGGCCTTGAAGAAAGCCGGGTATACATGTTCCTGTATCCCGTTGCGAAACAGCGACATGACCACATGTTCATCTGAGGGTCTATATTCCCTGATGGAGAACTGAACTGTGTGTTAGAGAGGGAGAGAAAGAAAGGGGGAGAATGAGAGCTCAGTGAGACTAATCTGCCTCTTGTTGCAGTAAGAAATTCCTGCAGGATTTCACAATGGGCTCAACACGCTCACGTAACTTGTTGTTGCAGGCAAAAAAAAAAAAAAAAGAATCAATACAGCTCTTACAGAATCTAACCCTTTTCATTTCTAATTTAACTCTATTCCACATGAATATAAAGCCTGATATTGCTTGTGACAACCTGGGGTGAAAATTGCAATTACAATTATTAACTGCACTGGGTTTTTTTTGTTTTTGTTTTTTTTTAAGATTTCAAGAGTGGTGATCATTGTGAGATGCAATACAATAAGCCTCAAAAGTGCCAACAAATGAAAATCAAAGCAAGGTGAGAACACTGACGCAACAAACAAAAGGTCTTTAGTTTCAGGGAAATGTGTTACGTGTCATCTAGGCATGTTAGTAGTGCCATTCATTCGCACCCCAGCTGTCTTATTAGCGCTGTTGTTCGTAATCAGCTCGCTTACTTGGAAAAAAAAAAAGAAGGTATAAAATATTAACATAATCAGAACATCAACTTACAGTTATTTTTCTGGGCCATGCCGACTCCTTCCCCCTCGTCTTTTCACTCACTCTGAAGGACTTAACGCTGCTGCTCCCCCTGAACTTAAGCTACAGATTGTGATAATCAGCCATTCACAAAAGGGATTGAACTTAGTCTGAGCATGCTCACCTATGAGTACACACACACACGCACACACAGGGAAGAAACTTTTGGACCTCAAATGACTTTGAAGTATAACTGCTCCTAATCGTATAACATACTGATTATATGAGACATTTAACAGTTAGACCGAGTTGACGGTGATTTGAGGAAGCACGCTCTCTGTTTAATTGAAATTAATCACAGTGTTGCTTTGATTATGAAACGTAGAGTATTTTTTAAAAACTTAATTAGCTTAGTCAACAGAGTAAAGAACTCTATCATTGGATTTCTCAAGGAGGATGAGCACAGATCCTGAATATATTAAGTCAGAATATGAGCTGAATGTGAATCTGCGGCTCTTTCGAGCACTTCATAGATATTTCCAAGAATGAAATGTTCTTATTAACCTCTTTTTGGGTGCTTCACTTTTGGTGGCGTTCTCTCAGGAAGCTGCCGTGGATCTCCACACCACCGCTTCCTCCCTGGAATATAAGGTGAAAGTAAAATTAATATTGTCTAGCCCCTGTGACATAAAAGTGTCCTATGGTGTCACTGACAGTGTCGTGTGCAATAACCCGGTGGCCCTCTGACATGATTAAATTTCCTTGGCAGGGGAAGGGCCTTTACACCTGTTTAAATCAATAGCGCTGCCTCATGAATCTGTGAGTGCTAGAAGGTCAAAAACTCTGGAAGTTTCTCAAACCATTTCACAGCTACAATGTGAATTCTGAAGTGTGCACCCCTCAAGTGAAACCTCTTTGTGATCACATGTGGTGAGTATATATTCTCCTGTCTACCTATAGAGGGCTGTATGAAAGAAAATAAATCATAAGCCTCTCTCAGACATTTACCCACTTACATTAATGTGATGGCAATTTTAAGGTTCTCTATGTAGCTTTCAGAAAATCCTTGCTTTTAAAAACACCTTTCTCTGAAGCTGTTAAGTGAACTGCAGTCAGCATCTCTGTGGCCGTGAGTGAGCACCTGCATCAGCCACAACAGTGACTAAAGCTGGATTTATCCTTGTGTGTCAGCTCTATGCAGACCCTACACCATAGTCTACGCCTTTGTGAGCATTTATACTTGTGCAGTGGTGTGTCTATGTCACTTTGCAGTTTCACCTCCAAAACACTAGTAAAGTTTAGTTGATTAAAACACATCCAAAACACACATTAAACACACATTAAACATCGCTTAATAGTGACATTTTCAAACTCAAACTCTTGTCTTTATCTGGACACATTTTCCCCACAAATACAACATGCTAATGTTTTAAGCGCAAGCCTAATGCATTTTACATTGTATAAATTAGCCTAGTAGCTAGCAGACTTTTCCTCTTCTCATATGAAACCAGGGACAACAGCAACTTTTAACAAAGGTAACGTTACAAAGTTTGGCTCCATTACAACTCACAAGGTTCACTGACAAAACAACTGTCTTATACTAAACACGTTTTCCAAACAATTACAACATGCTAACTTTATTAGCACATGCCTATGGCATTTTACATTGTATAAATTAGCCTAGCAACTAGCAGAGATTTCCTCTGCTCCTATGAAGCCAGGATAAATCACACACAAGACTTAAAATGCTATTTTTGTGGAGGCTTTATTATTTACACAATTTCTTTGTTATCTGTGAATTTAAGTTTCCACTGAGGGAAATGTTTGGCTTCCTTAGTTATGGTTATCCACATATATGATACTTCCAGCGCAACTGCCTATAGATTGGTGCGTCACACCCCTGCAGCGAGACACTCTAACTTTCAATTCCTTTTATAATATTGCTGTTAGGAACTCTGAGTTTAATAAAAACCTGTTATGGTATTTTGACCCACATTGACTGTTGGCTTATGAAAGTGAACTTGGATGTTACACAAGAATTTGCAAGCGCACCTCGCTGTCCTTCCTCCTTTTATCTGCCGCCTAGAGATTACTTCCCCTGGAAGAACACGGACAGCAGCTCAGGGGACGGACCTTCAGTCAGCAGCTGAAACAGCTTGAGCAGTGGAAACCTTAGCGGTACTTGAAGGTCCAACTGCTGGCTGCCGCTTCAAGAGGTGTGTAATAGACGAACAGCATGTGTGGACTCTGTGTTGTGGCGGGTGCCTGTCGTTTGCGAACGTTAGCAGACTTAATTTTTAGCTAATTTTAGTTACTGAGAACAGAAAAGAGATGCAGGACTCCATTGGAAGAAGTTTTCTTTGAGGCCTCTCTGCCAGAAATGGATTTCTTGATTAAGGTTAATCACACCCCCCATAATTTGTCCCGAGTCCTTTAAAGTCAGCCCACAGGTTGTAATAGTCAACAAAGAAAGTAAGAGAAGGTCCGGGTTTTAGTTACGCTACAATCTGTTGGCATCCAACATTGGCAATAAAAAATTTAAAAAGTAATGCATGTTTAAAGTTAGATACAGTACCTTCAACATGTAGGTCTCATTTCTGAGACACTCTTACTGTAAAGTTTACGAGGTCGGGCTGAGTAACATTTGTGTAACATGCCATGAGTCTGAATTGAATGGATTACTGTAAATGCTTCAGCAACACAAGGTTAAATACACAGATTTCAAAAAGACCAGAGCACACGGATTGATTAGCAGCATTTATGTGTGCAAACAGAGTAACATTTCAACACTACAGAGTCTCCATCAGAATCAGAAAGTCCCTTTTCTTCCCTTGGAAGTTTGCTGTCCTTGAGCTGACAGGCACCTGATTCAGCTGCATGCTGCTTGAGGATGCGGAGAAGAACCCAGTTTCAACTGCATTTAAAATGCACGTCCTGTTGGCCTGATTAAGATCACAGTGATATATTTCTCACGTGAGTAATCTCCTATGCACACAGAAAATAAAGCAGGTTAATAAACTATGAGACACTGCATGAAAGGAGGATTTTTCTTATGTCAGATCAGTCAAGAAATGACTTTTTCCCCGACCGGCATGGTGAAACAAAGGGTTAAAAACATCATACAACCACAATAATAATTAGACCAGCTGTCTGCCTCCTTATATTTTCAGTTTTCATCCATACCAGCTTTGCGGTTGTGTAGCATAAAAAGAATATCCAGCAAAATGCTTTAGATACAGCATGTGGGCGAAACAGAATTTAACCACTTAGAAAAACAACTTTAAACGCTTGTCACTCTTGTGCACTGTCAGACCTGATAAAGAATTCTTTAAGAAATGAATAACAAAAGTTATCGAATCCATCAGTGATGCAGCCGGTGAGAAAACAGAAAACACTCTTCCATAAATGTCCCGTCACGTCTGAATAAAGCCATTAGAAACACTTACTGGATGTCAAATTCACCTGTGTCTTGTTTGGTGTTGCTCAGTGGGACGAGCAGTTAGTGAAATGTTGTTAGTTTCCCGTTGTGGGGTCATTCCTGTGTTCCATATGTTCCCCAGCTCTGTATTCACTCCATTTAACAGAGGACTTCATTTAATTAGACGAAGAGTCATGAAACTGCTCTGGCACTGGTCTCAGTCTAGATAATAGTCACTCTTTTTGCACAGAGAACAATTCTTAAACATATTTCAGCCTGAAATTTAAAATAATAAGAATTATTCAACCGATTAATTAACCTATTAAAAGGGAGGAAAAAGAATAAGATGAGAAAATGAGGAAAAAAACGAAAACATTTTAGGGTGAGGAAATCAGTGATAGATGGCTTTTCCAACAGGTTTAGATTTGCAGAGTGGTCCAGGGTCAGGTTAGTGCTATAAAATATTGTCACAACAATAGGAAGGTTAAAGAACAGAGTACTGAACTGGGGAACAAAGCTTTTTTACACAGAGATTTCGCAACAAGGTCACAACAAAGAGCATTCTTTATGCCAGCTTTGCCTTTTACATAGAACAAATCGACGCTGGCAAAATGCTGCCCCAGTGTGTGATTTCAGTCATCATGCGACGTATGGTGTGCAGGAGTATAAATGTATGGGCGCATGTCTGTTCATAGATATGTTTGGTTTTATATATGTTTATATATACCATAAAACCTCTATTTAAAGCCTAGTCCCAATGAAACGTCCAGTCCCTTTTACTAGCCTGGTGTGGCTACACATTTTTATCAAAGTTCTTTGGACATTTAAAACCGGGTTGTTGGCTTCCTACTTTAGCTAAAGTTAGCTGTATTGATCGTACATACAAACATGAATGTTTAAACTTCTGTCAGTAAAAACATGCTACACACTATTAGCTCGGTGAGATTCTCTACAATTCAATTATTCCGTTCACTTCACTAAAACCACGAGCACTAGAGAATCATTCATTCTGGTTTACCGGCATGGTAAAGCAGAGGGATAAAATAAAAGTGGTGACTCCCTCTGAAGCTGTCATTAAGTCAGAAAATGTGTCCATTCCTCAATTAATCGATCAAATAAATGATTAAAAATTAACATGTTATTCAAAGCCTAATTTTTTAAAATGCAATGTTCATATTAGTTTAAATAAACAATTCAGTCGTATTTTCCCATCTTTGCAAACAGTTATGTGTCAAAGAAATATTCCATATAAGCACCCGTCCCAAATACAGGCCTGTTGAGTTCAGTGTTTTAAGCAAATACTAACCTGGGCTAGTATTTGAAGTTTTATGGTACCCATTTTGTTTTATGTAAAATCATATATAGATATGCTGTTACTTTTTTTAAATGTAAATTCTGCATTTATTCAGTTGTTCACTGTGAGTATGAATGTTAGTAAACTCAACTCATTGCGGACATGGCATAACACAGCAGCGTCAGCCCCTAATTTGATGTATAACATCCGCGTTGCGCAGAGCTGTCTAAACAATAATAATGGCATAATATTGCAATGCAATCATTTACTGTGTCTGATATATGGTGGTTAATCTTGTCCTCTGCTTGGAGGGTAAGGAGCTCCCAGACCTTACCGTCTCTTAAATTTGCAGACATTTTC